TAAAGCAATGGATGGAAGATTCTCTCTCTCTCTCTCTCTCTCTATCTCTATCTCTATCTCTATCTCCCCTTCTCTCTATGTCACTCTGCCTTTAAATAAATCTTTTTTAAAAATTGTAAAAATCTAAAAGAAAGAGGCAAACAACCCAAAAGACAATAGGAGGTTATTTCAGAAAGTTCACAGGAAAGTGGAATTAAAAGTTTATTTTGGGCCGGCGCCGTGGCTCACTAGGCTAATCCTCCGCCTTGCGGCGCCGGCACACCGGGTTCCAGTCCCGGTCGGGGCGCCAGATTCTGTCCCGGTTGCCCCTCTTCCAGGCCAGCTCTCTGCTGTGGCCAGGGAGTGCAGTGGAGGATGGCCCAAGTCCTTGGGCCCTGCACCCCATGGGAGACCAGGAGAAGCACCTGGCTCCTGCCTTCGGATCAGTGCGGTGCGCCGGCCACAGAGCGCCGGCCACGGCGGCCATTGGAGGGTGAACCAACGGCAAAAAGGAAGACCTTTCTCTCTGTCTCTCTCTCTCTCACTATCCACTCTGCCTGTCAAAAAAAAAAAAAGTTTATTTTGGTGCAAAAAAATTTGAAATTCATGCATAGTTTTTTCATAATATAGTTTCCATAAACCTTTATTTTATTTATTTATTTATTTTTTGGACAGGCAGAGTTAGACAATGATAGAGAGAGAGATACAGTGAGAAAGGTCTTCCTTTTCCATTGGTTCACCCCCCCAAATGGCCATGTCCCTTTAACAATTAACACTCATTTATGACATCAGTGATCATGGACACAGGCATCTTAAATACTAAGCTAAATGCTCACCTCAAAAATTTCTTAATAGCAACAATAGGAGTAAAAAATAAATGTGATGTTGTCAAAGAAAAAGAAACTATCAATCTGGATTTTACCTTACTAAATAATCATTCAAGGGGCCGGCGCCATGGCTCACTTGGTTAATCCTCCGCCTGCGGTGCCAGCATCCCATATGGGTGCAGGGTTCTAGTCCTGATTACTCCTCTTCCAGTCCAACTCTCTCCTGTGGCCCAGGAGGGCAGTGGAAGATAGCCTGAGTGCTTGGGACCCTGCACCTGCATAGGAGACCAGAAAGAAGCACCTGGCCCTGGCGTCAGATCGGCGCAGCGCCAGCCATGGCGGCCATTTGAGGGGTGAACCAACGGAAGGAAGACCTTTCCCTCTGTCTCTCTCTCTCTCTCTGTTTATAACTCTACCTGTCAAAAAAAAAAATCATTCAAAAAAGAGAATGAGGGGCTGGTGCAGCGCAGCAAGTTAAGCCACCACCCACAACACCAGCATCCTGTATGGGCCTCCATATGAATCCCAGCTGCTCCACTTCCTATCCTGCTCCCTGCTAATGTGCCTAAGAAAGAACGAGATGATAGCCAAAGTACTTGGGCCCCTGCCATCCACAAGGAGATCTGGATGGAGTTTCTGAGTTCCTGGCTCCCGGCTTCTGCCTGGCTGAGTTCTGGCCATTGTGGCCATTTGTGGAATGAAGCAGTAGAAGGAAGATTGATCTCTCTCTATCTCTCTCTCTCCCTCTCTCTGTGACTTTGCCTTTCAAATAAATAAATAAATTTTTAAGAAAAAAAAGAATGAGGGTGAGATAAAAATGGTTTCATCCAAATAAAAATTGCTAACATTCACTAATAACACACCCTCACTAAAGACAATTCTTTAGGCTGTCCTTGAAGAAAAATTATTTTAGGATAAGGTATGAAATCTGAGAACAAGTAAAGGATTGGCCAACATGTGAGTAAATCTAAACAGGCACACTGAAACTGGATTATCCGACTAAAACTAGATTATTAACATAGGCATGGACACTTATAATTTTTATTCTTTTTCATGATGTTAAAACATTTCATAGTTATTTTTAATAATGCAAGAAGATGGCTGGCCTTGTGGCATATAGCAGGTTAAGCTACCATCTGGGACGCCAGCATTCCACATGGGCACCAGTTCAAGTCCTGGCTGCTCCACTTCTGATCCAGCTCCCTGTCAGAACACCTGGGAAAGCAGTAGAGAAAGCCAAAGTGCTTGGGTCTCTGTACCCATGTGGGAGACCTAGATGGAGTTCTGGACTCTTGGCTTCAGCTTGGCTAATCCTGGGCCATTGCGGCAATTTGGGGAGTGAACCAGCAGATGGAAGATCTGTGTGTATGTGTGTCTCCTCCTCTCTTTGTATAACTCTACCTTTCAAATAAATAAATAAATCTTTTTAAAAAGAAAATATTGCAAGAAGAGAGAGAGTTCCAGCACAAGTTCCTACTGCCGGAAAGAACCTGATCTATTTACAGACTAAAAGAGGCCAGTGTGTCAGGAACACGGTGATGAGATGTGGCACAAAACAAGGCTGCAGAGACAAACAGAGGCCAAGTCACAGGGGCTTCCAAGGTCACTTTAAAAATTGGCTACAGTCGGGGCCAGCGCCGTGGCGCAGGTCAATCCTCCTGCAGCACTGGCATCCCATTTGGGTGCCGATTCTAACCCCTGCTGCTCCTCTTCCAATCCAGCTCTCTGCTGTAGCCTGGGAAAGCAGTGCTTAGGCCCCTGTACCCGCATGGGAGACCAGAAAGAAGCACCTGGCTCCTGGCTTTGGATCGGCACAGCTCCGGCAGTTGCAGCCATTTGGGGAATGAACCAATGGAAGGAAGACCTTTCTCTCTGTCTCTCTCACTGTCTGTAACTCTACCTCTCAAACAAATAAAATAATATAATAATTAAAAAAATGGCTACAGTCAATGGGAAGATACTAAGTGGTTCCAAACAAAGGATTTAAGGAAGCTGAATTAAATATGGAGATGACAATTCTAGATGCTTTATTTGAAGGTTCTTGTTAAGTACTAAGCACCCAACACAAAAGGTCTAAACATATACAAGGGGTCTTCAAAAGTTCAGGGAAAATGTATATTATGAAAAACTACATGGATTTCAAACATTTTTGCTTCAAAATAAACTTTCAATTCCATTTTCCATGAACTTTTTGAAGTACCCTCAAATAAGCTTTATTCAACTTCTGGCATCACCAAAGGCATAATTCTTTGTGGCATGCCTAGTGATAGAGATGACTCCTCTGTACTGCATATTAAATACTCATATTCATGTTAGGGCCCCAAACCAACCCTGTATAATGAGATTGTCATTATTCAAATGACACTACAGATATCCTATGGGAAAGGAGACCACTGCTACATGTAAACATAGTATCGAGCATGGGGAAAATGCAAAGGTTTCAAAGAGAAGGTGATTCTGACTCTGACCCATGAAGGATAAGGGGAATGTGAACTGACTAAGTGGAAAGAATGGCATACCAGATGAGGGGGATAGAAAAAAATCATAAAAGAAAAATTATAGACTCAACCTACTTTATGGAAACATTGGCTTATTTAGTACCTTGAATTCCATTATATATTAGAATGGAAACTATTAAATAGGTAGAGTGGAGATAGGTTGAGGAGTCAGTATTTTTCCTGAAAGCAACAAAGTGCAAAGATTTATGGGTGGAGAGTGCTTGGAATAGAATCTCTCTCTCTCTCTCTCTCACACACACACACACACACACACACGAAGGAAAAGGAGAAAAGGAGAAATCTATGTATGCTTTTATTCTTGACAGCTGAAGGCAACCATGCCCTCTTCTTCCCCAATACGTACACCTGTCACTTCACTGCCAGATTACTTCATTCCTCTCTCACAGACCTTTCCCTTGTACTCTAAAGGATAAAGTCCAAATTCCTTAGTCCAAAAATCAAGGTAAAAAATTCTTCCCCAACATATTTCTCCAGAAAGCTAACTTCAAGGAAGCTAATACCCCCAATAAATGGCATATATGCTAAATTCTGAAGAGGCCACTGCCTCTCCCATCTACCTCCCGTTGCTTATGTGCCCTCCCCCCCATGCCTCATTTCTTGTTTATTCCTACAAGTACCACCCAAATTTTAAGGTCTGGTGTGAACCGTATGTCTTCCAGGAAGACTTCACACCACTGTACACCACAGTGACTTCCTCTCGTTGGCATGTAGTTAACTCTCACTGTCTGTTACATGTGCCTGGCACTTAACACAAGCTCCTTTAGCAGAATCACCGTTTGAGGCACTTCTCATGCAAGAAGCCTGTTGGTTATAATTTTTTTTTATTTTTAAAGTTATTCATTCATTTGAAAGGCAGAGCCACAGAGAGGTCTTCCATCAGCTGATTCACTCTCCATTAGGCTGCAACAGCCGCAGCTGGGCTGATCCGAAGCTAGGAGCTTCTTCCAGGTCTCCCACGCAGGTGCAAGGGCCCAAGGATTTGGGCCATCCTTTCCTGCCTTCTCAGGCCACAGCAGAGAGCGGATGGGAAGTGGAGCAGCCAGGACTCAAACTGGAGAGCCTACATGGGATGCCAGCACCGCAGGCCAAGGACCCATCCACTAAGCCTAAGCACCGGTGCCTAGTTATAAACTCTTAACATCCCCAGCCACGCCTAGCACACAGCGGCAGCCTATCATTAGGCTCAGTAACGGTTAGTAATGTAGTAAAGAGCATCACCTGTTATCGTGAAGTTAATTGACTTTCATCTCAATGGTAGCTACTGATGTGCGCCTCCACCACAGCTGAGCAAGTCCTTAACGTCCCTGGCTGACAGGTTTAGGGTTTCTGGCCCGGATGCAGAATGGAAAAGGGAGATCACTTCAGTACTGAGTGTTGTTTGCCGCTTGAGAAGTCCTCCACAATGTAAGTTTTATAATCCTGGGACTTGAATTTGAGTTAACTAGAAGTGTAAGGTGGTGACGCTTTGAGTAGAGAGCTGATAAGTAAACGACCTTTCCCAACCCCAAGACCGCCTCCTAGCAACAGAGACCTGGATAAAACCGAAAACAGCCCCACTCGCGCCAAAGCACCACCCACAGGCAACCTCAGGGCGGGCTCTACTCTCCGGGCACACTGATTGGCTAACTACAGCTGCTGGCCTCAGGTGATTGGTCGCAGCCACAAGGGCTTCTGGGACTGGCACGTGGCACCAACCTCACTTCTCGAAGAAGGCAAAGATGGCGGCAGAGGCCTCGACGGCTCGGCTCGCCCTGACCTCCTATCGGCAGGTGGGGAGGAAGAGTTGGCCTTGGGATGCCGCCGAAATCCAGTGCACACGGTGTGGAAGAAGTGTAATTTCCGGTGAGGAGCCCGAAAGAGGCACTGCATCCCGCCCCAGGCTGGCAGCCCACGTATGCCGGGAGCAAGGCCTGGGTGAGGGCTGGGGGCGGGGCAGGGCTTCCCTCAGCTGCCGCCAGGTGGCCGGAAAACGGCCTCTCAGGCCTGCTTAGAGTCACAGCCCACCCCAGGAGGTCCTCGGACAAACTCTGGGGTCGTTGGGGTGGCTTCCCTCCCCTTCAGGCCTTCTCACCCTCCCGCCATGTAGGCGTGGGGGCTTCTTTCCGCCTTCGGGGAACCCAGATTTGCTGATGTTAAGAGCATTCAAAATCCTCTCTAATAGCTCTTTTCAAATAATAGTGCATTGTTATTAACTGTAGTTACCCTCTTGTGGGAAAGAACATCAGAACTTACGCCTCCTTTCTTGACAGTCAAAAATTGAAACGGAAGAGTAGATATAGAAATTTAGCTTATTGTCTTGGGGTCAACAAGGAATGAAACAATTTTGGGAGGGTTGGAGGATGTAGAGTTTTTTATCTTCTCTTTCTTTGTTTGCTGGAGTAACAAATAGATTACCATTTAAAATTGTGGATTAAAACAAAAAATGGTGGAGTTTTGTTTGATTCAATTTGGGTTAAAGCACAGTTTAGAACAGTTCCTTTTGTGCAGCTTGTCGTTTTTAGTTTTGTGGAGGTATTTTTTGTTTTGGTTTTGGTCTATACATCGAGAAATACAATGCATTTTTCATCTACTCAAGTGAACTCAGGTTCAAATTATTTTAATAGAACTTTCCTTTGAGCACTGTGTTTCAGGCAGGGATGGATTGTTGACTCAGCTCTTGAAGCTACTGAGAAAGTCATCACTTGGTGAAACTGTTGAATGTTTATATTCTCGAAGTGAAAATCATTTGATCAGCTTTCCCTGATCTTTCGGAATGGACTTCTTTCAGGACATATGAACCTTTGTACAGAGAGTTGTGTTTTCAGTGGAAAGGCAGTTCTCCTACTTGTGGTTTTAATTACTGCTGCTACATAGAAAATCTGCATTTGAATTAAATAAGAATTACAAAGCACACAACCCTTTAAAATCAGTGGTTCTGGGGCTGGCATTTAGTCTGGTGAAGATGCCTCCTTGCCAAATTTGGTGTCTGCTAATGCAGAACCTGAGAGGCAGGGGTAATGGCTCAAGTGATTGGGATCCTGCCCCACATGTGAAAAACCAGGATTGAGTTCCCAGCTTCAAATGCAAACATTTGGGAAGTAAACCAGCAATTGGAAGCACTTTCATTTATAAAAAAAATTTTTTTTAAATCTTAATGGTGCTTCCATACATTTGTATTGCAATGCTTAGAAATACTCAATTGAAAAGATTGTGATTACTCATTTAGAATTGTGAAAGTGCTTTGTTATGCACCACAGGATTTTTTGATGTATACAATATCAGAAATTTTATTTAAAAAGAGTTTTTACTTCTTTGGTGATATCTCTGGGATTTGTGTAGGACTTTAAAATTTATAGTAGTTGTATGCAAATTTCAGATATTTCAGGCAGCTGAAGAATTGTGAAGTTTCTTAAAAGTTAATACAATTATTTGGCCGGCGCCGCGGCTCAATAGGCTAATCCTCCACCTTGCGGCGCCGGCACACCGGGTTCTAGTCCCAGTCGGGGCGCCAGATTCTGTCCCGGTTGCCCCTCTTCCAGGCCAGCTCTCTGCTGTGGCCAGGGAGTGCAGTGGAGGATGGCCCAAGTGCTTGGGCCCTGCACCCCATGGGAGACCAGGATAAGCACCTGGCTCCTGCCATCGGATCAGCGTGGTGCGCCGGCCGCGGCAGCCATTGGAGGGTGAACCAACGGCAAAGGAAGACCTTTCTCTGTCTCTCACTGTCCACTCTGCCTGTAAAAAAAAAAAAAATTAATACACTTATTTAAATTCATCTAGAGCAAATCTTTTTGATAGCAAAAGATAACTGATTTTTAATCTGGTATATTTTTCTCTTTTTACTTATTTTCTTGCCCCCAAAAAAGGTTTTTTTAAATAACCTTTTGGGGTGGCATTGTGGCACAGTGGATTCAGCTGCCACTTGAGATGCCCACATCCCATATTAGCATACCTGAAATGAAGTCCCTTCTCCACTTCCAATCCAGCTTCCTATTAATGCACCTGGGAGACAGCAGATGCTAGCCCAAGTACTTGGGTTCCTGGCACCCATGTGACAGACATGGAATTCCTGGCTCCTGGTTTCAGTCTGGCCTGGCCCAGCCTCAGCTGTTGCCAGTATTTGGAGAGTGAACCTAAAAACATAGGGGAAGATTCATGCGCTCTTTCTCTCTCTCTGGCTCTCCTTCTCTACTGGTCTGCCTTCAGAATATTTTTTTTAAAAGTCTAGCTGAAACAAATATGTTGTTGAGCCGGCGCCGTGGCTCAATAGGCTAATCCTCCACCTTGCGGCGCCGGCACACCGGGTTCTAGTCCCGGTTGGGGCGCTGGATTCTGTCCCGGTTGCCCCTCTTCCAGGCCAGCTCTCTGCTATGGCCAGGGAGTGCAGTGGAGGATGGCCCAGGTGCTTGGGCCCTGCACCCCATGGGAGACCAGGAAAAGCACCTGGCTCCTGGCTCCTGCCATCGGATCAGCGCGGTGCGCCGGCTGCAGCGGCGGCCATTGGAGGGTGAACCAATGGCAAAAGGAAGACCTTTCTCTCTCTCTCTCTCTCACTGTCCACTCTGCCTGTCAAAAATAAAAATAAAAATAAAAATAAAAAAAAATATGTTGTTGATATTAAACTTCAGATTCTACTTAAAGGACTTAAATCTTAATATTAGGTTTTCAATCAAGACTATAGTATTCCCTTTTGTAAATGCTAGGTTGTGAAAATGAGCTTTTCAAAAGAATTTGTTATTCATTTGAGAGATAGACACAACAGAGTATTTGGTCTCCCACATGGGTGGCAGGAACCCAATTACTTGAGCCAAGACTGCTGCCTCCTACATTGGCAGGAAGCTAGAGTCGGGAGCCAGAGCCAGAAGTGGAACTTAGATACTCCAGTGTAGCATGCTGGTGTCTTACCGGCTCTGTTAACTGCCTGTTCCTGTACAGATGACCTTTAGGTAGGTTGTGTGTATGACAGTAGTAGCATCTGGCTGCTGTCCTAGCTTCTGTCCTTTCCAGTGCTATATATTATTGTAAGAAAGCAATCTTACCAGTGTCTCATTTCAGCCCTCACTGACTCCAACTTTGGAAATTATAGGCGCCAGCACTGTGGCATAGCAGGTAAACCTGCCTTCTGAAGTGCCAGCACCACATATGGGCACCAGTTCGAGACCCAGCTGCTCTGCTTCCCATCCAGCTCTCTGCTATGGCCTGGGAAAGCAATAGAAGATGGCCCAAGCCCTTGGGCCCCTGCACTCACATGGGAGACCTGGAAGAAGTTCCAAGCTCCTGGCTTCAGATCATTCTAGCCCCAGCCTTTGCAGCCATTTTGGGAGTGAACAGCACTTGGAAGACCTCTCTCTCTACCTCTCTATAACTCTTACCTTTCAAATAAATAAATCTTAAAAAATGTGAAGTATAAACTAGTAGAGGGCAGTATGGTTCAACAGAAAGAACACTGGGCTTGGAAACAGAATTGGTAGAGACCAATTTATATGATTTAGTTACTCAAATGAACAAGGTGTTTTCTTAGCACTTTGGATATAGCATTCCCAGTTTCTTGGTTGTAGTATTTACAAAGAAAAACTGAAATATATCTGAACACTCTAGAAGATATGGTAAGCTCAAAGTTTTAGAATATATAAAATAGTTATCTGGATTAATGCAAGCATTTTATTATATAGTTCTAATTTTTTTTCTTTATTTTTCTCCCTCTTCTGAGCTGTGTAGTTTCTCCTGAATTTTGTATCATAAGCCATTAATTTCTAACTCAACTAGGTATTTTTTCTAAACAAGAGAATCCTCTTTAGATTCTTCTCTTTGATACTGCCATTCTATACATTGTGGAAAGTTGAATTCATAATAGAATTTCATCAACAGGTCGCCACCACGAACTTCAGTGTGGTCACACTTTTTGTGAACTATGCTTATTAATAACTGAAGAATTCAGCACAATTATGTGCCCTGGTTGTGAGGTAAGTTTTATGATTTTTTCAGATTTAATATATCATAGCCTAATGTTAAAAGTAAGAATGTTAGAGAAAAAGCAAACTTACAGTTGGAAACTAACAACTTTATTTTTTGCTGCTGAAAAAACTTTCCATTTTACAACTGTTCAAAGTGAAGAAAAATAGACTAAAATCATGCATTTATTGCCTATATATTTTGACTGGAGACATAGATAGAAAATTTATTTTATTTATTTATTATCTATGGAGTATATTCCTTTCTAAACCTTATATTGTTTGTTCACACCAGTACCACACAAGAAAATTTCAAACTCTCCCTGTCCCTCAACCTTTGAGTGTCATCAAATTTTTTATTTTTTTTAAGATTTATTTATCTGAAAGTCAAAGCTACAGAGATGGAGAGAGAGGGAGAGAGAGAACCTTCCATCTGTTGGTTCACTCCCCAGACGACCATGATGGCAGGGCTGAGCCAGGAGCTTCTTCTGGTCTCCCACATGGGTGCAGAGGCCCAATCACTTGGGCCATCTTCCTCTGCTTTTCCTAGGCCATTAGCAGGGAGCTGGATCAGTAGTGGAGCAGCCAGGATGCAAATCAATGCCTGCCTGTATGGGATGTTGGCATTGCAGCTAGCAGCTTTACCTGCTAAGCCACAGTGCAGGCCCTGAGTGTAATTGAATTTATAGAAAGGTCATACTATGAAAAGGCAGGGAAGCCAAACAGCTGCCAAAATTAATATTTACTGCAGAAACACCTAAAAATAGAACAATTATACTAGAACTAAAATCTGTCAACTCATCAATTTGTTCTCTTTTTGAGAACAAATTAAAGATTTGAAATAAATTTTACTGGACATCCTTTCTATTTTCTACACATACAAGGGTAATTCAATTTATGTAGTAGTATGTTCCCA